GCATTTTACTCATTGCTGGTCCTCATAAATGTGTATGTGGTGTTGGGTTCAATGACTGAAAACAAATTGTTGTAAGTCAAAGACCTCAAGTTCTGGGAACACAGAGCAGTAAAATACTTCATGTCTGCTTAGTTTGAGCTGCTATAGAGGGAGGAAGGAAGGAAGGAAGGAAGGAAGGAAGGAAGGAAGGAAGGAAGGAAGGAAGACAGGTCTGTTTGGATGCATGTCTTAGTTACCCTTGGGTTGCTTTGATAAGAACCCCTGGACAAGGGCTGGAGTGATGGCTCAGTGGTAGAGAGCACATACTTGTCTTGCAGAGGACCTGAGTGTGGTTCCCAGAACCCATGCTAGGTAGCTCACAACCAACTACAACTCTAGCGCCAGGAAATGTGATACCATCCTCTGGCCTCTACACATGCACACAGAGACAAATAAAGAAAATATTAAAGTTTTTTTTAATACCCTGGTAAAAACAATCTAAAGTAGTATTTTGTCTTATATTTAGAGATACATTCCATCATGGCGGGGAAGTCAAAGCCCTAAGTCTCATTGCAGGAAAAGCCAGGATGAAGAAAGCAATGAATGTGTGTGTTCAGCTCACTTTCTGTCTTTCACTGTTGCCTGGCCAGGGAATGATCTTGCCCATAGTCAAGATGCCTGTTCACATATTAGTTAAGCCAATCAGGAAAATCCTTCACAGTAATCTCAGAGACTAACCTTAATCTAAAGCAGTGGTTCTCAACCATCCTAATGCTGTGTGTGGCCCTTTAATGTAGTTCTTCATGTTGTGGTGATCCCCAAAACATAGAATTATTTTCATTGCTAGTTCATAGCTGAAACTGTGCTATGGTTATGGGTCATAATGTAAATAATGTAAATCTGATAGAGGGAATTTGGTATGTGGCCCTTGTGAAAGGATATTTTCACACTGGAAGGGGTCGTGACCCATGGGTTGAGAACTACTTAAACTAAATGATGTCTCATAGGCATGTCAAGAGGCTTATCTCTCACATGATTCTGGGTCCCATGAAGATGGTAATTAAAAATTATACAATCACAGTCTGTATCTAAGCCCTGAGAAACACCCAATGATGTTTTTAGTTTTTTTCTGCAGAATATATATATATATGTATGTATGTATGTATGTATGTATGTATGTATGTATGTATGTGAGATACATGGTTAAAAATAGAAATAGAAGCCAGACAGTGATGGCACATGCCTTTAATCCCAGCACTCAGGAGGCAGAGGCAGCCAGATCTCTGTGAGTTCAAGGTCAGGCTGGTCTACAAAGTGAATTTCACACAGAGAAATCCTGTCTTGAAAAACCAAAATACACGCGCTCACGCACACGCACTTGCACACTACCAAAAAGTAGAAATAGAAATAGAGATGGCTTATTAAGAAAAGGGACCGAGGCTAGTAAAATGTATCTAATTATAAGAACACTTGCTAACAAGCCCAAGGACTTGAGTTCGGTCTCTGGAAACCGTGATAGTAGGAGAAAATCGATATTCCACAAGTTGTCCTGTGACCTCCACATGCCCTGTGGGGCATGTGTAAATACACACACATGTAAAAAATAAATATATTTTTAAAGTGAACGAGTATTTGAGCAGAGTGTAAAAGGGCATCTATCTATTTAAACACGCTGGTCCAGGAGGCTCACGACTTATTGACATCAACCCTGCCTCTCCCATGGGCTTTTCTCAAACACACACACTGTTCTGTGGAGCCCAGGTTGGGAAGAGATTCTAGTCTTTGCCACCCGGTTCTTTCATGTGTTGATATTAAAGTTTTATTATATTTTATTTACTCTGCATGTGTGCACATACCCCACAGTGTATGTAGAGGTCAGAGGACAACTTGAGGAGTCAATTTTCTCCCTCCACCTGTGGACTCAAGGGAATGGAACTCCTGTATGCAAAGGCCTTCAGCCACTAAGCCATCTTTTCAGCCTTCATGTGTTAATAATCTTGATGCTATTATCCCCATTCTCTACCATAGCACCAAGGAAGAACCAGATTTGAAGCAGGAATACGATTTTAGGTAGGAGAGAAGGAGGGAACGCAAGAAAAATGAAGGGATTTGAGGAAAGAGGAAAAACAGAATAAGCAGGACTTACACATGTACAAAGATTCCATGGTATGTTTTTTCCTAACACAGGAGCATGATCACATATGACAACAGCACGCTATTCCACTGGGTGGTAAAGCCATAATGATTTTTTAACTGGTGATACATTCAGACCAGTGTGATTGTTTAAAAAAACAACAAACAAAAGAAGAGAAAGGAAGGAAAAGAATCCCTTCGGTCCCTGGGCTCTGCTCAGTGAACTGGGCTGCTTTCACTAATGCCTTTCTTTCTTCCTCAGAATCACATGCCACTTCCCAAGGTTCATTTTAATTCCTCAGCTTGTGCTAAGAGAAATGGCTTGCATCGACCCAACCAGCAGTAGAATCTAGATGTTTAGGGGTTCTTGCCATTGCGGTGCTTAACTTGAGATATGTCTCAAGATCTGCATTTGTAAATCCTATTTCTGAGAAACTGTAATAAATAAAGCCAAAGATTGAAATTGAATTCTTGTAAAAAGGAATTTAGGAGGAAAGCTCTGAAGCATCCATCCAATTGTGGAAGATAAGATACATTTAAACCGGGGAAAGGGGAGATAGCTAGTCTCCCCAGCCTGGCACAAAGTACTGGGGAGAGTTACCAGGGGTAGGGATTGGGGTAGTGAGCGTACCCTTCTGGGGCAAGTAGTCCCAAAGAAGAAAGGAATGAACAAATTTAAATATGTTCTTAGCCAGATATCTAGTAACTTTTTAGTCATATTTTACAAAAAAAAAAAAAAAAAAAAAAAAAAGACTGAAATTTACCTATACTTAGATGACCCGATGAGATAGATTATTTGTATGTCATTTCTGATTGAGAGATCATCAGTGTTGCTTACTAGTGGTGTTATTGGTTTGTTGTTGTTTTGTTCAGTACTGGAGACAGAACCCAGGACCTCGTGCAAGCTGTGTAGCAGCTTTACCATGGATCCCCACCCCACCCTGAGGGATTGTAAGCAGGTGTTCTACTACTGAAATACACCCCAGCCCTCTTTTTATTTTGAGACAGTCTAAGTTGCCCAAGCAGTACTTGAACTTGATGTGATCTCTCTGCTTCAGTCTTCCAAGTACTTAGGATGACTAAACTGTGCCACTAGGCCCAGCTCATTGTTGCTTTGATCCATGGAAAATTAATTTGAATGGGCTTCAGTGTGACCTAGCCAGGGACACAGAAGACATTTGGGAGAGAGTTCCTAAGATTGCAGAAATGCACACCCTCAAGGGGAGGAGGAGGAAGCCCTCTGTGTATCAACAACCTGAGAGGCCATCGTTAGAGCTCGTGTGAATGGAGGTGAGCTGCACTGTTCTGAGAGTCTCAGAAGATCGCTGTGAAGACAGTGACATCCTGTGTGTCTCACAAATAGCAAGAATGTATGTCACACAGGCTGGACAGATGGCTGAGTGCTAGAATACTCACCTAGCCTGCACAAGGCCCCTTTAATACTTCCAAGAGATGAGGTGCACATCACAACCTGAGATCCTTCAGAGTATTCGTTCCAGGAAGTGGACCTCCCCCCACCCACACTCACCTTTCATTAAGAAATAAGCTTAATATTCTTTTAAAGATTTATTTGTGTGTGTGCTTGTGTTTATATATGTGGCTTTGTGTGTGGAAGTTAGAGGACATCCCCGGGTGTTATTCTTCAGATGTTGCTCACCTCTTTTTTTGGGGGGTGGGGGAGGAGACAATCTCTCACTGGCTGGAGCTCACCAAGGAGGCTGGGTGGTTGGCCAGTGAACACGGGGAAGCTTCTGCCTCCACCTCCCCATAGCTAGGATTACAAGCACAAGCTGCCAGGTCTGATATCTTCTAGGGTTGAACTCAGATATTCTTTCTTGCACAGTAGGTACTTTACCAGCTCAACAATCTACCCCAGCACTTACATTTGTTAACTTTTTAATAAGATGTGCCATTTTTTACTGTTTCTAATTGTATGTTCAGAGCTACTCACATATATGAATACTACATGTGTGCGTGTGCCCACAGAATCCAGAAGAAAAACACACATACGCCATGAAGGGAAAACGAGATAGATGATATTGGAGGAACCACAGCCATGTTCTCCCAAAGACCTCAGCTAACAATAAAATAAAATTTAAAAAAAAAAAGTAGCCTGAGTAGAAATCAGACGAGCCAGCTACTTTTTCATTACTGTGACCAAATACCTGATAAGAAGCAGTTTAATACAGTTCAGGAGGTTCAGGCCATTGCCGTGGGAAGGCATGGTGGCGGGAGCAGGGGGCAGCTGGTCATGTTGCTTTCTCAGTAAGGAAGTAGAGATGGATGCTGTGATGCTTGGCCACTTTCTCCTTTTTATTCAGCCCAGGAGCCCAACCCATTCAAGGCTGCCACCCAAATTCAAGGAAAGTCTTCCTCCCTTGTTAATGTAGAAACTCTCTTATAGACATGCCACAGTTTGTCTTCTAGATCCATTCAAACTGACAGTCGTATTAAATGTCATAGTTAGCTTTGACTGTCAAGTTTGTATAGCTTAGAGTCATGTGGGAGTAATTGCCTAGGTGAGACTGGCCTATGGGGATGTCTGGGGAGGGGGGAGGGGGACTGTCCTGATGGCTAGTCAATATAGGAGTGGGTGGCACCATTCCCTAGGCAGATGATCTTGGGTTGTATCAGAAAGCTATCTACCCCTTTGCGTGTACCAGTAAGCAGTATTCTTCCATGTTTCCTGCCTTCAAATTCTTGCTAGAGTTCCTATCCTGACTTCTCTCGGTGATGGGCTATGACCTGGAAGTGTAAGCCAGAGGCGCCCTTTTACACCTTAAGTTGCAACAAGAAAGGAAACTAGGGCCTATGGTTTGGGGTTTGTGGGGAGGGCAGTGGCCTCTGTGATATCCTCTGCCATACTGATCAAGTCCTTCTGCCTCCAGGTATGGCTCTGTGGTGGCAGCATGGAGGTCCTTCCTTGCTCAAGGGTGGCCCATATCGAGAGGAAGAAGAAACCCTATAACAGCAACATCGGCTTCTACACCAAGAGGAATGCACTCCGGGTAGCCGAGGTCTGGATGGACGACTACAAGTCTCACGTGTACATAGCGTGGAATCTGCCTCTGGAGGTGGGAACCTTTCCCTACCAGCCTAGAACAATAAGCTTGGTTCTCAGGCAGGCCACAGACCCCCTTAACAAGCCGATGGTTCTCTCATTGCCAAGGCTCCTTTGATCCTCTTAGCACTGAGGCAAACACAATAGAAAGGCATCAATCCACTTACAGAGATTCGCAGATCTTGTTGCTGTGTTAATCCAAATCGTCTTATACTAGCATCCCCTCTCCATTCTGAGCATAGGCTGTGTCTGGAAGGTCTTTGCCCAGATTTGGGCAACACAGCCATCTTCTGCTCTTGCTGTGTGCCCTCCCATGGAGCTCCAGCTGCCAGGGACAAGCCCGGACTGAAGGCTGTGACTCTTCTTTCCATCCTTACCTCCTCATGTTCTGCTTGAGGCTGCAGGGAAATCTGTGGTTACTACAGGCTCCCAGCTGGAGCCCCACGTCCGTGCCCGACTTGGTCTGAATCCTACCTGTCTCATGATTGATGAAATCTTCACACAACACTTCTCCATAGTTACAGATACTGAACAGTAAAATGGGAGTGATGGCAGGTCTTCCTCTGTTTCAACCAAACAGCAGAAATAATGTGTGCAAGGTTTCAGCGAGTGGAAGATAAGTGTGTGAATTGTATCATTGTTCCAGCTCCTCCCACCCCAGTATTCGGGGTTGAACCTAGGTGCTGCTGTATGCTAGGAAAGTACTTTCAGCCCCTCACTGGGGGATTCTAGGCAGGTGCTCTTCCACTGAGCCATGACCTCAGCCCCTGGTACTGAGGACTTCTGGAGAGATGCTCTACCATAGAGCCGTCCCTCCAACCATTGTTTTTCTTTTCATTTTTGAGACAGGGTCCCACTAAATTGCCCAGGCTGACCTTGAATTCACTCTGCAGGCCAAGCTAATCTCGAACTTTTGACCTTCCTATCTTAGTCCCGCAAGTAGCTACATTGACACTTGTGACACAGACCTGCCTCATTACAGTTATTGAACTATATCCTTAAGAAGTGCTCTCCCCCTTTATACTGCATAGCCATTGAATGTGGTATGCCTTTACATCTTTTTAATTTACGTTTAATATACCCCTATGGAGGTGGGAGAACAAACTAGCAACCTTCTACCATGCAGGGCCTGAGGATGGACCATGGGTCTTCAAGCTTGGCAGCAATCCCTTTGACCCATGAAGCCACCTTCCCAGCCCAAGCCTCCATATAGTCGTGTTATGTAGTTGATGAGAACTTAGTACATCCCAGATACTTGATACATTTCTTATTTATAACAGCTCATTTAATCTCTAGAACAGTAATTGTTCATACTCACTCCACAGGGGCCCCAATGACCAAGTACAGAATAGAGCTTGGGCCTTGTTAAATAGTCTGTAAATGCTGTAAATGTTATAAGCTTACTCTGCTGCCCATTTACAGACAAGAAACTTGGTAGTTTGGGAGGTGGATGGGACTTGCTTAGTCTTACACATAAGTTAGGGCGGGAGAGATGGCTCAGTGGTTAAGAGCATTGCTGCTCTTACAGAAGACCAGAGTCCAGTTCCCATTTCAGGGGCTCATAATCACCTGTCACTTCAGCTCCAGGAGATCTGTTGCCCTCTTCTGGCTACCGTGGGCACTACATTCATTCTCACACATACGTACTTACACAAACATATAGTAACTAGAAGTAATTTTCTTAACTAAAGAATATGAAAATATGCATTCAAATCATCAGGCCAGGGATGTGAACACATAACCCTGGTGAACCAGGGTTATTTTTGTTTTCTAGAGAAAGATCTAGAATAATTGTATCTGTTGTATTAGTTACTGTTCCTATTCTAGAAAAACAAAACAAAACAGCCAAACCAAAGCAATTTATGCAAAGACTTTGTTGTTGTTTTGGGTTTTTTTTAACACAAGGTTGTTTCTCCATGTAGCTCCTAGATGTCTAGGAACTCACTTTGTAGACCAGGCTGGCCTTGAACTCACAGAGATACATCTGCCTCTTGAGTGCTGGGATCAAAGGTGTGTGCTACCACACCTACTTAAGAATGGTTTATTGTGGCTCAAGAATGTGAGGGTCTAGCCAGTCATGTTGGGGAGGGTATGTGGCATCCACAGTCAGGAAGCAGAGACAGATGGATGCTGGCACTCACTCTGTTCACTTTCTCTTTATTCAGTCTGGGACTGTCCACAACTCAGGATGGGTCTCCCTTCCTCAATGAAGCTATTCTAGAAACATTCTAATAGACATGTCCAGAAGTGCTGCTCTAGATCACATCAACTTGACAGTCAACATTAGCGATGACTCTTTGAGTCACCCTTGCCCATTACAATCCCTGCTTGGCCATAGGGTACTACAGAGGAAGTTTTAAAAAGACCAGAAATCATACACAGGACCACTGAGCACCCCAGTGAATGCCTCATGAACACCACGTTCAAAAAGAACAGATTTGGGAGAGTTCTGAATGTGTGGTTTTCAGATGAAAGAGGTTCAACCAATAAAAGTTATGCAAATATTCTATGATCCAGAAAAGCTCCCAAATCTGCTTTTCGGGGGAACATTGGGACAGACCGAGTCTCAGTATGGAGCCCTGGATGGTTTGGAACTAAATCCTAAATCTGAACTAAACCAAAGTTTCTTCCTTCTTTCCTTTCTCCTCCTTTCCATCCCTACCTTCTTTTCCCTCCCTCCTTCCCCCTTCCTCTTTCTGTGCTCCTCATAGGATCTCACTCCACATAGCCCACGCTGGCCTCAAATCATCATCCTCCTCCCCCAGCTTCTGGCATGCCTGGGTGACAGACCTGTGCCACACTCCTGTGTATGCACCAGGATTAACAAAGCACTCACACCCTGTAGATGCTGTGTTTCCCTCCTACGTACAGACTATGACAAAGTTCTATTTATATAGACTTGCACAGTAAGAGACCTACAGCAATGTCTAGTAATAGAGTGATCAGAACAAAATACTGCGATGAAATTTACTTCAAATTTATGAACTGTTTGTTTCTGGAATTTTCCATTTAGAATTTCTGGACCGTGATTGATCATAGGTAACTGAAATCAAACCACACTGAAGCACAGTCGCCTGGCTGATTCCAGGTCATTAGTCCATAATTTTGAGTGCTATCTTGCCATGCTTTTAACAAATGGCCATCTTCAGCCAAGCATATAATCCCCACCCTGGAGCAGTGGAGGCACCAGGGTCAGGAGTTCAAGGTCATTCGTTGACCTTGACACACAAACAGCCAATTTGAGACCAGCCTAGACTACTTGAGAACCTGCCTTTTAAAAAACGAGGAGGAAAAGAAGAGAGACAGAAAGGAAAGGACAGAGAAAAGGGGCCATTTTCAGCCGAGTAGATTGGCACAAACCTATATTCCCAACACTAGGGGAGATGAATCAGGGAGGGTTGTGAGATTAAGGCCAGCCTGGGCTATCTATCATGTGAGGTTATGACTCAAACAGACTGACAACCACTGACCACCTCAATTAATCATAGCAAATATAACCAAGCAGAGTTAAGTTTTGTTTTTAGACTTGCCTTGAAGTATTAATAAGTATGATATTTAAAGGATTTTTTTTTTCCAAGAGAGTGCTCAGTGAGTAAAAAATGCACTTACTGTGACAGAATGAGGATCCGTGTTCAGTTCCCCAGCATCGAGAAGAAAGGCAGATCCTGGAGCATTTTAGCCAGTGGGTTTCAGCTTCAGAGCAAGATCATGTCTGAAAACAAGAACAAAAAGATAAGGTTGAGAACACTAGAGGAAGGTGACCTTTTGACCCTGTATAGGCATGCAAACCGCACACACACAACATAAATACACACCAACAAACAAATACACACACACTTATATAATCCTTATCTGGCTGCTGAAGAAATCTTGACAGTAACTGTTCTCAGTGCCCACGACTCCCACCTGCCTCCCTTTCTCAGCCTGGCCTGTGTCCTTTGTCTCCCAGTCGTCTGGGGACTGAGACCGAGGCTCATATTTCAGATACTTTATTTCCCCCTGTCATCATACAGCAACCCATTACAGGTTCATTTCAATAAAAGCAGAGTGAATTATTCATCAGAACATCATCACACAGAAAATTATTTTCTCCCCTGCATATAATGAGCTGCACAGAGTGCCCACAAAGAGGGACGTCACACACAAGTGAAAGACGGGGGCAGCTAGAAACATTTATTTTCTTGTCATCATCAAATAATTCCTGCAGTAATCGTCTTAGATAATTACTGAGGGACTGTGAAGGAGAAGAATCCCAGAGAGTAGGTTGTTGACATTCTTGTATCCTGGGATCCTTAACCCCAGTGGTGATGAAGATGGAGACCTGTCTAGAGATGTCTGTCAAATCCTCCTGCATGTGCCCCACGGAGTGAGTATATAATCTCTGCCTTAGGTTTAAGAGGCAGGGCATATGCTGCAGCCAACCCTGTGAGCACTACTGGGCTCTGAGCTGAGCACATAGCTCAGTTGGTAGGGTGTGTGCCTAGAACACAGAAAGCCCTGGGTTCTTTCCTCCATACCACATAAACCGGGTGTGGTGTTGCTTACTTGTAGTCTCAGTATTTAAGAGGTGGAGGCAGGTAGATCAGAAGTCCAAGATCATCCTCATCTATATAGCAAGTTCCAGACTGGCCTGGGCTACACATGACCCAAGTAATGGTTGGTTGGGTTTTTTTTTTGTTTTTGTTTTTTTTGTTTTTTGTTTTTTTTTTTTTTGTTTGTCTTTTGTTTTTTTGTGGCAACTTGAGAGAGTCTGGGAAGAGATACTTAATGAGTGGTTGTCTAGATCAGGTTTGCCTGCAAGTATGCCTGGGGGGAGATTAACTTGATTGTTAATTAAGATGGAAACCCTGGATGTGGGGTATCACCATTCCCTAGGCTGAGCCTGAGCAACTACCCTCATGAGTGCATTTCTTTACTTTGATTGGTGCATTCCTTTACTTTGCTCTGTGGATGTGATATGATTGGCTGTTGAGTCCCTACCTTGACTTTCCCACAATAATGGATGGTAGCCTGGAATTGTAAGCCAGATAAGCCCTTTCCTTCCCCAAGTTGGCTTTTGATCAGGGTATTTTATCATAGCAACAGAAACAAAGCTAGAACACTCTTCAAAGAAAACACAAAATAGTACAGGCTCCAAATCTCCTAGATGCCCTCCCTAAAAGTAACTCCATCTGCCCCTGCCTCTGGCCAGAGTCCCATGCCAGTAATGCCCTTTGTCTCTCTGCTTGCAGAATCCAGGGATCGATATAGGTGACGTCTCCGAGAGAAAAGCATTAAGGAAAAGTTTGAAGTGTAAGAACTTCCAGTGGTACTTGGACCATGTCTACCCGGAAATGAGAAGATACAACAATACTATTGCATATGGGGAGGTAAGATGGGCTACACTCAAGGGACAACAGAGCTTCTCTCCCCTCAGTGATGCTTGGAGGTCCAAGGCTCTCCGCTTAGCAAGGGTACAGAGACAGGGATGAGGCTGTGGCTGGTTTATCTGCCCAAGAGATAATGGTTTTGAGATGTTTTGACATTGAGGGCCTCTGGGCCATGTAAGTAGAAACACTGAGTAGGAAGCAGGACATAACAAGAGTCTGAGAGCAGAGGATATGGCCAATGTAGAGCACTTGCTTAGTGTGCTGTAAGTCCCTGGGTTAAATTCCCAGCGACAGACACACAAGCATGCACATAACACACATTCACACACACAAAGCATGTATTCACACACATACACAAGAGACATGGAGCTGGGTGTGATATGAATACCTGTAATCCTAGTAGTCAGGGATACTGAGGCAGGATTGCCATGAACATGGGCTACATATTGAGTTCCAGGACAGTTTAGATTATCTCAAAAGAGAGAGCGGGTGTCTGGAGTGAGGCTAGAGTCTCTATTGCTTATTGTTGTGGGCTAAGGCCAACTAGTGCTAAAACAGGAGAGGTGGAATCCTCAGATTTTCTGTATTGAAGCACTCTAACATTCTAAAACAGTTGGGCAGGTTAGCACAGGCCTTTAATCCCAGCGTTTAGGAGGCAGAGGCAGGAGACTCAAGGCCAACCTCAGCTCCATAGTAAGTTTTAGGCTAGCATGAGCCACACAAGACTGTACCATAATAAACTCAGCATCAACAACAAAATGTCTTTTGCACTGATCTGCTAGACTCTCATCCTAGTTAGCTGTAGTCAGCCGTGTGCTACCTCCTAGGTACCAATTCTTGATGTATAAAAATGAGAGAACTCAAAGTCCGTACTCTCTGGGGGGTGCTGGGCAGAACAATGAGCCCTGTGTGTGGGGTTTGTAGATCGGTAGGCAACGTGTGGCAGCCACTGTTAAAGCATATTAACTGCCTTCTCCTCTCCTTCAAAATAAAAGGATCTGAAGGAAGATCAAGTTTGGAGGAGACATTAGAAAACAAGCAGGGACTTGTCTTAATGGTGTAAACTACTTAGCTCTTTGTAAGAGAATCCATGGCTGGAGAGGTGGCTGAGTCAGTAGAGCACTTGCCCCTCGTGTGTGGAGCCCTAGGTTCCATTCCCTGCACTACATACATCTGGCATTGTGGGGTACATCTGTAATCAGTTTGAGGTTCTCCTCGGCTGCCTAGTGAGATCAAGGTTAGCCTGGGCTACAAGAGACCCAGTCTCAAAACCTCTTCCCAAAATACAGCAATGAAGGCAATCACAGAGCCATAGAAATAAATGTGACATCCAAAGGGAGATAAGCTCTCTAAGAATGAAAGCTGTGGGACGAACAGTAGAGAAAACAGATAATTGATCTGAGCTCTAAATGTGGAAACTTTCTGCCGAAGTGGAAATTTATACATCACAAATCTTACAAACGAACAGTAATTTATGTAGTATGTAGTGAGCCCTGCAATTCAATTTAAATAAAATAATTGATTTAAATAACAAAAAAAATCCCCCAAAGAAAAGTTGACCAGATGTCTTAGTTATTTTTCCTGTTGCTGTGAAGAGACACCATGAACAAGGTAACTTAAAAGAGAAAGCATTTTCCAGGCAGTGGTGGCACACACCTTTAGTCCCAGCACTCGCAAGTTCGAAGCCAGCTAGGGCTACACAGAGATACCGTGTCTTGAAAAACAAAACAGATGGGAGGGGGATCATTTCATTGATGGGGGAGTCCGTGATATCGAAGAGGAAGTAGTTTAAACTGCCCTGCCACACTGAGACACCAGGCTGTTGTCATGGGATAAGCTGCCGCGAAGGCAGCTGTCACCCACGGCAGACCTATAAACAGTTTGAGTGGGGATTTTAGGTTTTTGTTTTTAAAGGTTTATTATTTATTTGCACACACCTACTAATGAATGTGTGGAGGTGCCCGCAGGAATCAGATATAGATCCCCCGGGACCAGATTACAAAAGGTTGCGTGCTGCCTGGTGTCGGTGCTGGGAATCAAACCCAGGTCTTTGCAGAAGCAGTGTGTGCTCGTAAATGCTGAGCCACCTCTCCAGGCCCGAGCACATGTTTGTTTATTTTCACAGATACCACTTTTACAATAGTCATATGGTAATTTCATAATTATAAGGAAGTAAATATTTTTAAAAATCAAAGATTAAAGGTGAAAAGGTGGCTCAGAGAGTTAAAGGTACTTGTCACCAAGCCCGATGACCTGAGTGAATGGAGAGAACTGACTCTAGCAAGGTGCCCTCTGACCATCACACACAAATACACATATATGTATATACACACATGCAAATAGGTAACGTTTCTTGCTGGAAGTGGGCTAGCCTGGCTGGACAGTGAGCCCTAGAGATCCACCCACCTCTGCTTCCTCCATGCTTGGATTGCAAGCATGAACCATCATGTCTTGATTTTTTTTTTTTTTTTTTTGGTTCTGGGGCCCAAACTCAAATCCTCATGCTTGCAAGGCAAGCACTTTGTCAGAGCCATCACCCCAGCCCAATGGTAGTGGTCTTGTTTGCCTTTTTCATGCTCTCTGCCAGAAATGGCCTAGGAAACTGATCTTAAATTCCTAGAGTTAACTAAAGCCAGCATTGATATTGTGGTTTGTTTAAACAGCTGCCCTGATCCCACCCCCTCTGGGAGGACTTTAAGCCTGAGGTCCATGTGACCCAAGGTCCTGTATCTATCTATCTGAATGTTTCCATAAGGCTGGGGAGATGGTTCAGTTGGTAAAGCGAATGCCTGAGTTCTATCCCCAGAACTCATGTAAACAAACAAGAACAAACGTAGGGCACAGTGGTATATACGGTGGTGTATACGTCTACTCCTAGCAGCACTGGGGAGGCTGAGATGGGAAGATCCCAGAGGCTCAATGGTCTGGCTTTCTTGGTGAGCTCCGGGTTAGTTAGAAACCCTGTCTCAAATGTTACCTGATGTAGTCATCTGGTGTCCACAGGCATATGCACCTGCATATCCATGACAAGCACTACACAGAGTTCCCTTCTTGTTAAAGATGTATGTTTTAATGTTATGTATACGGATGTGCCTTGTGCCTGCAGAGGCCATTGCAGATCCTCTAGGACTGGAGTCACAGGTGGTCGTTATTGCCCATGTGGGTGCTGGAATCCAAACCTGAGTTCGCTACAAGTGCTCTTAACTGAGGAGTAATCTCTCCAGCCCCCATCTCCTTAAGAAAAAGATTATCTTCTTATTTCTGTGTCTGTGGATATGTGCTTGTGAGTATAGTGCCTGTCCAGAACAGAAGAGGGTATCAGATAACCTAGGCTGGAATTACAAGTGGTTGTGAGCCACCAGACTTAGGTTCTGGGAACTGAACTCAGGTTTTCAGTAAGAGCAGCTAATCCTCTTAACCACAAAGCTATTGCTCTAGTCCTTTGATGTGACAGATGGGTAAGGGATGGAAGTCAGACCATCCACGACCCAGATACAGGGCTCACACCCAAGAAACCCACTGTAGGGTTTTGTCCTTCATGCTCAAGTTATTGGCTCACAGACTCTAGCACTAATCCTTATTTGGAAAGGACTGTGTGTGTGGCTTCTCTATCATGAAATCACAGCCAAGGGACATCATGGTGGTGGCTGGGACACTATCTCTCCTAGAGGGTTTCTGATGAGCACATTTCATCTCTTCTTGCAGCTTCGTAACAATAAGGCCAAGGATGTCTGCCTGGATCAGGGGCCACTGGAGAACCACACAGCAATACTGTACCCATGCCACGGCTGGGGACCACAGGTAGGACCAATGTTTGACCGGGAGGGGAGTAAAATCAACAAACCATGGAGGCCTGTGGGACCGTTAGAAATTTCTATTGCCCATTGTTTCAAATCCTGTGGTTTTGGGTTTTTTGTTTTGTTTTGTTTAAGAACTTGGATATTTTTCTGGTTGTCAACCTGACAGGATTTGAAATCACCAAAGAAGACAGCCCTCTCAGCATGTTGTAAGGGAGGTTCTGCAATGGGTTAGTTGGGTTTGAAAGACGCACACCATTCCATTGAGTTTTGGTCCCAGGATGAATGAAAAAAGGAGAAAATTAACTGAGCACCAGCATCCATCTCTCTCTGCTTCTTGACTGTGGATCCCACATGACCAGCTGCTTCATGCGCCTGCCTACATGCCTTCCCCACAATGATGGGCTGTGCCCTCCAACTTTTAAGCCACAATAAACCCTTACATTCTTCCTTCCTTCAGTCATTTTTGTCAAGTATTCTGTAATGGCAATGATAAAAGTAACTAGTATATATAGTGACATCCATTCAAATGTCAAGAGAGTCAATGTGTATGTTATATATTGAAAAGAAAATTAGGATAAGCTTTAGAGTCATTTGCTAACAGAGACCCTCTTTTTAAAATATGTGCATCATGTTTAGGTATGAGCACTAAGGTATGCAATGTCCAGGGAGGCAAGGAGAAGGCATCAGAGCCCCCAAACTTGGAGTTAAAGGTAGTTCTTAGTTGCACAACATGGGCGCTTGGAATTGAACCTTGGTCCTCTGCAAGAGTAGCAAGCTACTAAGTAGCCGCTCCAGCCCCACAGAGACCCTTCTGAGAAGCAAGTTGACATGCCCACGCTGAAAGCCCTTCACTACTTTGGCAGGTAAATACCAGTACAATAACAGAGCCCTCACCAAGGAAGAAAAAAATGTCTTCAGGCTGTCAGAGAACACACAAGGCAGCTTGAAAAAGGGCAAAGTAATAAGTGAAAGCAGAGGCTGAAGAAATAAGTCCTCCTTGATAACTTTACATGAGTAAGCAGTCTGTGTGTGTGTGTGTGTGTGTGAACTCGTGTACACATGCAATCTCTATGGGCTTAGCAGAAATTCCCTAAGACAGGGAGGAACTATATATATCCCCAAACACCATTAGACTTGGTGTCCACAGACAAAGTAAATGCTCTGTCAGCCAGCAGTCACAAAAGGCAGGTTACAAACTAGGAAAGCATTTACACTCCCCTTCCTGAAGACCCAGAGAGTCAGTGCTAAGTTGATGTATTATTAGTTACTTTGCTCACAGCTGTGACCGAAACCTGACAAGAAACGATATAAGAGCTAGAGAGCTGGTCAGGAGGGTCCCTGGGGCCTTCTGGCCAGCCAGTCTAGCCAAGTCTTTGAGTTTTGGGTTTAAAGAAAACAGCTCTCAAAAGACAAGGTAGGAAATAATAGAGGAAAAAGTCTGACGGTGACCTCTGGCCACTCATTCACACGAGCGCGCACACCTAGAAAAGAGCATTCAGTAGCAGAACACTTATCTAGCATGCTCAAAGACCTTAGTTGGATACATTACACCATAAAAATAAAATTTTAATTAAAAAGTATTTTAAAGAAGGCTTAGGTAGACCCAGACATGGTGGTGCGTGGCTGTAATGCTAGCAATTGGGAAACTCGGGATTTTGAGTTTGAGGCCAGCCTGGGTTTCATGGGAAGATATTATAAACAACAGAAAGGAGCTGATGAGATAGCTCAGTGGTTAATAGCTGATTTTGCTTTGTAGAGTCTGGTTCGCAGCTCACAACTCCAACTCCAAAGGATTTGTCACCCTCTTCTGGCATCCATGGAAAACTACATTCACATGGGCACATACCCCATCACCCCACAGACAAATAAAATGAAAGAATACATCCAGGTAGAAATGACCATCCACATACTTCCTCCCTGCCTGAGTAGGAGCCAGAGGAGTCGGAGCAGTGCATTTCCTTTTCTGGTGGAAGTTGCCTGACACAACACAGTACCAGGGCAGCTGTAGTGAAATAACTAGACGTCATCATTCATCCATCCCATCTGTGAGCATAATGTCCCTGCTATCTACTTGACTGCAAAATGACACATAGACTTAGGCTTCCCATTGCCATCCCTAACCCCACATCATGGGCAAATTCTCCTAGCAGCACTGGCTGCTTTCTATAAACAGATTTGAAAGCAGGACTAACAGTGTTTCCAATTCTCCTGCAAGCTCGAAGTGTATGTTTGGCATGGCTCTCCAGCTGCCAGCCAGGCTGAGCCCTCCACTCCCCCCATCAAAGTGCCCCCATTCCCTAAGATGGAGGAGTCCCCTCTTCCCCTACCATGCACACTGGCATCTTCCTAAACTGCTCCATAAATTCCATGGGCAGAGGTTGAATCACGCTTCCAGACCCACGCAACTCCCAGAAGAAAAGATGGGTGTTCCACGGTCATTGTTAGCTTAATTAATGGACTCTATGTTGTAATTTATTATCAAGCAGCAATTAAACAGAGATAAAATAGGCACCATGGAGGATAATTTCCTGTCTTGCAGCATGTGTTTATCAACAAGATGGAGGTAGTTCCTGGCCACTCAGAGTGCCTGCTTGCTGCTTTCTCTGAAGTGTCTGCTGCAAGCTCATTAAGACTCTCATTTTTTGTCTGATGAATAATTTGAATTAAACAAAGATCTGCTTTTTTTTTATTCCTAGAGCCCAAGTTTAAGATTTTTAAAAATCTTATGTGCATACATGTGTGTTTGTGAGTATGCATGCAAGTGCTCTCAGGGAGGCCAGAAGAGATTGTCAGGCCCCCTGGAGCTGGGGATTGTGAGCTGTCTGATGTGGGTGCTAGGGTCCAAGTGTGTGGGAGATATTTCAGATTCAAGTCATAGCAGTAGCCCGTAGATTCCACCCTATGTCCAGAGTGGGCATAGGAAAACCCAACAGGAGGAATAATTAAACATGAAGTTGGCGTGTGTGTGTGTGTGTGTGTGTGTGTGTGTGTGTGTGTGTACATGTGAATGAGTGCCTGTGGAGGCCAGAGGTCAACTTAGGGTATCATTCCTTGAGTGCTGTCCACCTTGCTTTTGAGACAGATCTCCCATTGGCCTGGCAATGGTTGCTTGGATACTGAGACCTGGGGATCCTGCTATCTCCACTTCCCCAGCACTGGGATTACAAGTGTACACCATCACACCTAGATTTTTGTAGTGAGATACTCACTTTGTCCGCACCTGTGGCACAGACCACACCCATTGGGGAATGGGGACAGGGGCAGATGTTACCTGGGGGAACAAAGTCTGAGGAAGGAGCTCCCGGAGCTCTCTTGCTTGCAGCACGGGGACAGGAGAACATCCAGAGGCATCCTTGGGACCAGGAACCTGCTGGTGTTCATCTGTCCATGTTGTTAAGTTATTTCTCCCTGAATGAACATCTATTCGGCCTATCTGTTTCTCCTGATCCTTATTAAACCTCAATAGATTTTAATTAATATATATATATATATATATATATACATACATACAGACACATACGTGTGTGTGTGTGTGTGTGTGTGTGTGTGTTTCTTGAGGCTTTGTCTCATTCACTTTTCTCAAATCTTCCATTCCCTAGACTTCTTTTTTTAACCATGAAAATGGGAGGATTTCTGTGTCCTGTCCTCTGCTAAAGGCTATTGAACCATCCATACAGACCACGCTGCCTCTGGCCATTTCCAGCCAGCTCTGGGGGCTGGCCACAGGAGGTACAGCTCACCAGACTTAACTGCAAAGACACTGTCTGAACTGGTGCCCTTTTTGACTGTTTCCACAGCAATTCCAAGGAGGTCTTCCGCCCTCCTTTTCTTGAGGCCATGATTAATTTGTTGGAATAAAACATCCTTAATTGAAATCCCCTATAACACAGCAGCTATAGCTAACTGCTGAGTGTATGAGGGTCTAATACTGAACAAATCTGAATAAATTTAGAGGTGTTGCCTTTCTTTGCATTAACTAGCATTTTCCACAGCTTGAGCTTTGTGGCTCTGCCCTCCTGCCAGGAACCAGGGAACCAGGGACCTTGGAGGCCTTGGCCTATGGATTGATGCTGCCCACATCCATGGTGGATTTTCTTTCCTCAGTAAACTGACCTGGGCAGTAAAAGTGCACCTCATTGCTTCCCTAGTCATTGACTTTTGCTGCCTGTGTTACAGTGTGTGTGTGCACATGCATTTGCACTCATACACAGGGGTCAGAGGACAACCTACGAGAGCCGTTCTTTCTTCCACCTGGGTTCCAAGAATGGAACGCAAGTCCCCAAGGCTTGGCAGAAAACAACTTCACAAGTTGAGCCAGGCCCTTAGGTGTTTCTTAATCCAAATGAGCTGACAACAGGACTCAACCATGCTCAGGGCCAGGTACGTCACTGTCCCCTCTGCCTGTCCTCTCTGTTCATATGCCTTTCTCTCGCTCTCCCTTCTTTTCTGAGACACTCACGTTCCTTCTCTCAGTTAGTCTATCACCAGGATGACACATGAGAATTCTTTTCTCCCCTAATTAAATATAATCTGATCTTGGACTCCCTCTTCAATGGCTTCATCTTGGAAGTGATGCATCATATAAATGCCTTGTCATTATGATGCATTGTGCCAATAAGACACTCACACCCTGGTGGAATGACGTGGCCCAGTAAGCTATTAGCTCAGGGAAGGCAAAAGCAGAGATGAGTGACAGCCAGAGGCTGTTGCCTTTCAAATACAATCCCATGAGTGCTGAGGGAAGGAGATAGGAGCCATGGAGTATGGTAGGAAAAAAGCTCCCAAGAAAAGATGTTTTTGCACAGAAAGTAGCCTTGCGATTCCAAGAATATACCTCTACTATTTGGTAGTAATAGATGTCCTTTTTGCTTGGGACATGCCCACTTTATTCTTGCTTCGTTTTTAAAGATTTATTTCATTTTAATTGTATATAGGCATTCGGATCTATGCATGTTGAGTGCAATTGCCTTTGGAAGCCAGAAGGGAGCTCCAGGTCCCCCT